ATATATGGTGAGTGACCCCATTGCCGGGGAGAGACGTGGCACTGAGTGACAGACAGCTGGGAAACTGATGAGAAGCCCTCCATCTCACCACGTCCATCCAACAACTCCAAAGCAAACATTCTGCGAAGGAGGCCCCAGGGATTAAGGAAGTAGAGACTCACTTAAGCCGGATGTGTCAATAACATATTTCAAAGTGTACATCATGAATGTTGCCAAATGCTGAGGTGGAGAATACGGCGAACCCTGAGAGTGCCAGGAAACTGTGTTCTTGTCTCTCATTTCTCCTTGTCCTGCTTTGAACTGGTTTCGTCACCTGTACCGTGAGTGAGGTAGACCCAGGACAGTGACAGAGGGAGCCACTCAGTCTGCTATGAGTGGAGGCGAGGGAGAGGGTACCCGGGCCTCAGTTCAGGAAGCCTTGAGTTCTAGCCTGGCTCTGCTTATTCCTTGCTTTTTGACACCAGACAGCTCCCATGCCTTTCTGGGCTTCAGTTTTTCCATCCTATCTAATAAAAGAGTAATATGCAAATTGACTGTCACTCCAACACACAAGATGGCTGCCCCCATGTGGTCACAAGATGCCCAGCAGGGGAGGGCAGTTTGGGGGGGACCAGGCCAGCAGGGGGAGGGAAGTTGAGGGGGGGCCAGGCCAGCTGGGGGAGGGCAGTTGGGGGCCATCGAGCCAGCAGGGGAGCAGTTAGGTGTCGATCAGGCTAACACGGGAGTGGTTAGGGGCTGATCAGGCTGGCAGGCAGGTGAGCGGTTGGGAGCCAGCAGTCCTGAATTGTGAGAGGGATGTCTGACTGCCCATTTAGGCCTGATCCCACACCGGGCAGTCGGACATCCCTAAATGGGCAGTCGGACATCCCTCAAGGAGTCCCAGATTGGAGAGGGTGCAGGCTGGGCTGAGGGACATACCCTCCCCGCCCCCCCCCACCGGTACACGAATTTTGTGCACCAGGCCTCTAGTCTATAATAATAGTCACATTACCTACTTTTGAAAGATGTTGGAATCCTCAAGGCATCCTTGTGATATAAAAACTATCATTAGTCCCATTTTACAGACGAGGAAACTAACACTCAAGAGTGAAAGAAACCTGTCCTGTGGGACACTTGTTAACATTGATGAATCTATAACAGCCCATCACAATCTCCCAAAGTCCATAGTTCACGTTATGTTTTACTCTCAGTGTTGTACATTCAATGGGTTTGGACAAATGTGTAACCACATGTATCTGCCGTTAGAGTATCATAGAGAGTAGTCTCACTGCCCTATAAATCCTCTGTGCTCTGCTTATTCACCCCTCCCTCATTCCTCACTCCTCCTCCCTGAAACCACCAATCTTTTCACTGTCTCATAGTTTTGCCTTTTCCAGAATGTCACATAGTTGGAATCATATAGTATGTAGCCTTTTTACATTGGCTTCTTTTATTAGTAATATGCATTTAAAAAAATATATATTTTTTTATTGATTTCAGAGAGGAAGGAAGAGGGAGAGATAGAAACATCAATGATGAGAGAGAATCACTGATTGCCTGTTTCCTGCACGACCCCACTGGGGATGGAGCCCACAACTGAGGCATGTGCCCTGATGGGGAATAGAACTGTGACCTTCTGGTTCATAGATTGAAGCTCAACCACTGAGCCACTACAGCTGGGCAGTAACATGCATTTAAGGTTCCTCTCTGTCAGTTCATGACTCAATGGCTCATTTCTTTATAGTGCTGAATAATATGCCGTTGCCTGCATGGACCACAGTTTATTTATCCATACACTTATTGAAGGGCATCTTGGCTGCTCTGAGTTTTGACAATTATGAAAAAAGCTCCACAAACATCTGTGTGCAGGCTTTTTGTGTAGACATTTTCAACTTCTTTGAGCAATACCAATTGCTGGGTCGTGTGGTAACATTATCTGGAAGTTTCCATAACATTATGATATCCGGATCCATAGGTACTGTTGTCAGTGGCTCCCATTAGTAGCCACGCCTGCAGGCAGAGGGTCAGGTGGGTAGGCAAGCGATTACAGGACCAAAGAGACAAATGTTGACTTTGCCTGCCAGCCTTGGATAGGAACCAAAGAGAATCACTTTGTTCCCTCTCTGGGACCAAAGGGGAGGCCTTGCTCCTTTTGCTTGCAATGCCTTCCCCTCCCTTCTCTCCTCGTCATCCTTTCAATTTCAGCTCAATTGGCACCTTCTCTAGGAAGCCTTCCCTGACTGCCCCTTACCTTCGGGCTGGGGCAGAGCCTCTGCTCTGAGTATTTTTCTCAGCAGTGTGTGTGTGTGTGTGTGTGTGTGTGTGTGTGTGTGTGTGTGTGTGTCTTCCTATAGGAAGCTGTGGGCGTCTGTGACAGGTGCAGGTCCTGCTTCCTCTCTCCCAACCCCTTCCACTTGCTCTAAAAAAAATCAATGGAAAAATATCCTCGGGTGAGGATTAACAAACAAACAAAAAATAGACAATTGAGTTGATGTAACACCTGACTTCTCTAACATGGGCCTGTGGCGTTTCCAGTGTGATGACGTTTATTTTATCCTCATTCAAAGAGCAAATATTTAAAATAAGTGTTGATTTTCTTGCAAATATTTGGTGAAATGCATACACACTCTCATCATAGTATGAATAGGAAGATCCGGTTTGGTAAATAATTCTGTGATGAGTTCCTGAGGTCATAAAGTGTTCCAAGGCATTGAGTTCATAAATCTGATCCTGAGATTGTCCTGAAGGATTGTGCAAACATTGGGAAGATCCAGCATTTATATAACTGAATGAAGCCTTCAAAAGAGCCGGCACTAGAGTTTGGAGCTCTGCTTCCTAGATGACTTGGGGTCCACACAGGTTTTGCCTTCTTTCTTCCCATATATTCTCTATGGCAGATGTCCCCTCAACCCCTCAGGGTCCTCCTCTTCCCTGAAGCCTCCTTCAAGGGGTGCCACCACCTCCAAGAAGTCCTCAACCCTCTTGGAGGTTGGGTTGAGTGGGTGAGGAGCTAGTCTGGGCAGTGCCAGGCTCACAACGGGGGATGCTTCCTCCCTTCTTCACCTTGTCCCCTTTCCCCTTTATGGGCCCCATCCGTCCCTGGAGGGGGTGAGTGGCCTTGGCCGCACCTATGCTACATCCTAGCTTTACTAATCTAGGAGCCTTGCATTGGGTCCATCTGTCTCAAATGTCAAGTATCTGGCCCTAGTTAACAGAAAATAATGACTAGTCTTCTATACACCCTCAATCCCGGGATGTTAGCATTTTCCTGTTCACCCACCCACTCAGCTGTTCTGAAAATGGTGTTACCGTCCAGAAAAGCTTCACCCATTCATTCACCCCACATGGGTGGTGCCTGTACTGCATCTGGTTCTTCTCTAGGCTCTGGGGCTGCTGAGCAGAGGAAGATCTCTGCCCTCAAGGATCTCACAGGCAAGTGGTTCTCAACCTTCTAGCCCTTTAAATACAGTTCCTCATGTTGTGACACAACCATAAAATTATTTTCGTTGCTACTTCATAACTGTAATGTTGCTACTGTTATGAATTGTAATGTAAATATCTGATATGCAGGATGGTCTTAGGCGACCCCTGTGAAAGGGTCGTTCGACCGCCAAAGGGGTCGTGACCCACAGGTTGAGAACCGCTGTCACAGGCTCATGGGGCAGACAGATGAATTGAGTAAGAAGGTGAGAACCATGGTAATGAGAACTAACGCGTCCTGAACACCCTCTCTGAATTGGACAGCGATGACCAGGGAACTTGGTTGGACCTGTAAGTCGGGAAGCACGGTGTCTTTTTTTAGGGAGCATTGAGGAGAGGCCCCCACTTGCCTGAGCAGAGTCTTGCAGCTGAGGAGAATTTAGCCAGGGGAGCTGGAGAAGGAAAGGTGCCCAGTGGATGGAACCGTGTGGACAAAGGCTTGCCACTGACTCGGATTGGTTGCTGCCCAGTCAAATGGGGATAAGAAGGGTGTTTTGGTATTAGGGGGTGGTGAGGAATTCATGAGGTCCCCTGTGCCAGCAAAGGCAGCCCTCCACGATGGTGGTGGTCTTAGCATATGCAGTGATACTGTCCCAATCAAGTCCAGGTGCAGCCTGGGGACAGCTGAGTTCTGGGGCATGAATGGAGGGGCCTTGGGTGAAGAGAGGAGCTGGTCTCCATGGGACAATGGAACACCACTGGAGCCCTGGCCTCACCAGGCAGGCAGGGCTTTTGTGCAGCTTGCCAGGTGGGCGCACAGGCTCTCGGGGGTGGCGATAGGAGAGATGGGTGAGCTCTGGGGGCTGGAGACCTTGGGCGCTCTCAGGCACTGCTTGAAGAGATCTCGGCTCCAGTGGAGCCCTCGCCCTTCCAAAGACATGGGTGGGCAGGCCGGCACGTGGCCCAGGCCTCTGAGCTCCTGAGTCCAGTCAGACCAGGTATCCCCTGATTCTCCACAAGTCCTCTCAGGGCCCCTGACCGGGAATGAAGAAAAGCACCAGGTGGGTTAGTGCCCAGAATGTGACTGTCCTATTTCCACTGCCTTCCTAGTCCAGAGTAAGTGCTCACTATATACCCGCTGAATGTGAATAGATGAAGCAAGCGTTCTACCACTGCCACAGACTGGCTGTGTGACTTTAGGTCAGTTTCTTGCTCTCTGTGCCTCAGTATCCCTATTTGTAAAACCAGAAGTTGGGCTGGATAATCACAGATGTCCCTTCCAGTTCTTTTTCTAAAAATAAATTTTTATTGATTTCAGAGAGGAAGGGGGAGATAGTAAAAGAGACTGAAACATCAATGATGAGAGAAAATCACTGATCGGCTATCTCCTGCACGCCCCCCACCAGAGCTCGAGCCCACCACCCAGGCATGTGCCCTTGACCAGAAGCAAACCTGGGACCCTTCAGTCCCCAGGCCAACACTCTAACCACTGAGCCAAACCAGCTAGGGCCCTTCCAGTTCTTGACCCAGGTCTCTGCTGCCCTACTTGCACCTCCCTCCCCAAATCCCAACTGGAAGGAATGCAACGTGTCACACGGGAGGATGCAGAAGTGGCTTTTATTGCTGGGGAAGGGGGGCGGGTGATGGGCATAGACTGCTGTCTCAACTGTGAAGGCAAGGAGTGGCTGAGAGGGTTTCTTCTGGTCTCAGGCTTTCAGTCCAGTTGGATGGTGGCAGCATCTTCCCAGGGGGAGATACTGCAAGGAAACATGGTCAAGCAACTGGAAATTAATCTGGAATGAGACCACAAGGAGTTAGGCCATTGACAGCAAAAGGACCCTTGTGGCACCTGCTCTTCACCACACACTACTGCCCAGGCTCTTTCTCACAATACCTTGCAGGGCCTAAGGCCTTGGAGAGGGGACTGGCACCTGTGGTTTGGGGTCTTTCTCTGGCCTCCTTATCCCCTCACTCTGCCCTCCTCTCACCTTAGGAACAGTGGCAGATGTAAAGAGACTGACCAGAGCCCAGGACTAGAGTCAGGGTTCAGGGCTTTGTAAATAATCAAGATCATGGATCAGTCTGAGGTCAGGATCAGGGCTCAATCTGTGACTAATTTTAGGGCTTAATAACTGGGGCCAAAGCTCAGCCTGTGACTAGGATCCAGGCTCAGTCGAGGTATGTGAGTAAGGACTGGGATTTAGAGTATGACCAGGATCATGGCTCAGCTTGGGACTAGGGTCAAGGCTCAGTCTAAGACCAAGATCAGCAAGATTAGGACTCAGTCTGCTGCAAGAGAAACAAGGGAACCCAATCCTGGCTTTGGCTTCACCATTGTCCCCTAAGGAGGAGCCTCATCCTCCGTTAGCATGGGCCACAGAGCCTGACCCTCACCAGCTGGGGGCATCACAGCAGTCCACCTCATCTGCCCTCTTCAGGCATTGGCTGGCACATCGGCTCCCTGCTGACCGTTATCTGGAGGAACAAAACCAATAGGAAGCTTCATTCTCCACCAAATAGAAAACAGACCCTAATGGCTATCACTCTTCAGTGGGTCAGCCTGACAGCGATGGGACCTCAGGCATGTCACTCCACCTCTCTGAGCCTCAATTGTTCATCTGTAAAATGGGTACAATGAGGGTACCGCTCCCACAGGGCTGTTTTGGGGATCCAATGAGATGGTGCATGCAGAGCACAGAGGGATTGCCCAAAGAACTGGACCTGTGGCTATTTCATGGAAAGGCCACCTCCAGGACCCTGACACATTCACTTGATCCATTTCTACTGCTCCAGTCTCCCCAGCAACCCCAGACGTGCCTGAAGATCCAAAAGCTAAAGAAAGCCCCCAGTGGCTGGAGGAGAAACCCCAGCTCCTCATAAGAAGAGAAAGAGAAGGGAACATGTTGATTAGCAGTGTCTGCTGAACATCAGGCTCTTTGTGCTTTTTCTTTTAATCCACTCACCCACCCCACAATGTTTGCAATCGTGTTTTCCCAGGAGAAACAGAGGCTGAGAGAGGCAGAGCCGCTTGACCAAGGCCCCACAGTTACTAAGTAGCAGAGCCAGGATTTGAACTCAGATCCGGCCCATGCTCTTCCTCACATCATTCTGCCAGGCAGCATCTGTGGGTTTTCCAAGGGATGATAGTAGAGAGACCCCAGAGGCCCACAGAACCCCTTCCATTCTGCAAGGATTCCTCCAGCCACACTCTCCCAGCTGACTTAGGAGTGGGTCCTTCTGCTTCTCCAGGGGCCCCTGACCAGACCTGCCTGTGGGGCGGGCTCAGAGCTGCATGCCTGCCCTGGGAAGGCTGCACAGGGAACACCTCTGCTTCCCAGGGGTGTGACTTACTGATGACGTTCTCAACGAACTGCGGACCCAGGGTGCTGACGAAGATACGCAGCAGTGGGCACATCTGAGGGGGAGAGAGGGAGGGAGAAGAGGTGGGGAAGGAGAAAAAAGGATGGATTCATTATCAGCGGGGCACAAACTGCCGGCCACCCACGGAGAGGCTCCTCAGATGGGATCTTAGAACCTTAGGATTCTAGGACACTGGAAAGCGAGAAGTCCAACATCAGAGCACCATCGGATGCTAGATCCCACCAACTACCACCTTCAATCCCAGAGCCTTAAGAGTCTAGAGTGTTCACACCCCAGACTCCTACATTCTTAGAAACCTTGAAGTTTGGAACCCTGGAATTTTAGAGTGAAATGGGGCCCTTGGAACCCTACAGCAGTGTTTCTCCTGATTTTGTGTGCAGTTCCCTGGGGATCTGTATAAATGAAAATTCCAGTTCTGCAGGCCTGGGGTGGGGCCTGAGAGTCTGCACTTGTAGCGAGGCCTGTGCTGCAGCTGGAGGACCGCACAGTGAGTGGCGCGGTTCCAGCCCGGGATTTGCCCTTCGTCGACCAAGATTCCTAGGCCCTTTCTGGAATGACTAATTCAGAGTCTCTGGAACTTTGGGCACGTGCTACATACAGTTTTTATGATGCACAGGAATCCTGCACATGGTACATATGGTTTTGAATGATGTGCAAATAAAATACCTATTTTATTATAGGTCTGTGTTTATTTTTTAAATTACTTATATTATAAGTGATATTAATTTTTATGAATGGCAGGGATATGAAGTTTTCTTTTAAAAACAAGTGTATTTAAATAAATTTAAGTAAGTGGAGTTGTGTCCGTTAAAGGAACACATTAGCTACAAACACATTATTCGAACATGGATATGACAAACAGCTCAAGTTTGGGACCCAGTGATTTCAGCTGATGTCAGGTCTCTGCTCCCCCTCCCACACCTCACAAGCCCAGTAAAGAGGAGCCGGTTCCAGCTGACAGCCCAGTGAGAAGCTTGCACCTCAGAAGGAGCGGGGCCCAGAGAGCACAGCCGGGCCTGTAAATGTGCACTGCCCCCCACCAGGCCTGGCTCTGGGCTCCAGGAGTGGAGGACTCACCTGGTTCTGCACCAGGAAGGACACAGTGTCGCTCAGGAGGCTGCTTATGGTGCCTGAGAGCTTGTTGACCAGTGTGCTGTGTCTGGAAAAGAGAGAGAAGTAATAAATCATGCTCGAGTGGGCAGAGCTGCCAAGCAGTGGGCAGCGGGGAGAGGGTGGGAGATGGCAGAGCACCTTGAAGGCAGGGAAACAAACCCCAGGGACACTAAGGTGCCTTTCTAAGCACAGACAGAGCCTCCCTCTATCCAGGGGAATCCTCACTTATAATCCCACTAGAGGCCCGGTGCACGAATTTGTGCACGGTGGGGTCCCTCTGGGTGACCTGCAGGGATTGGGCTGAAACCCACAGTCCAACGCTGCCTGCAGCTCCTACCTGCCACTCCTGCTCATCCTCGCCCCAGTGTGCCTGCTGCAGGCTCGCACCCAATCAGTCCCTATTGGGAGAGGCTCGTGCTGCTGCAGCAGCGCTTGCCAGCCATGAGCCCTATGTCTGGCGTCTTCCCAAGGGGAGGGGCCTGCAGGATCTGGCTGAAACCGGCTCTACGACATCCCTCGAGGGGTCCCGGATTGCAAGAGGGCACAGGCCAGACCGAGGGACCCCATCAGTGCACGATAGGGGCCAGGGAGGGACACAGGAGGTTGGCCAGCTGGGGAGGAACAGCGGGAGGGCTCCAGAGCGTGTCCGGCCTGTCTCACTCAATCCTGATAGGCCACACCCCAGCAGCAAGCTAACCTACAGGTTGGAGCATCTGCACCCTGGTGGTCAGTGCACATCATAGCGAATGGTTGAACAGCCTTAGCACATCATTAGCATATTATGCTTTGATTGGTTGTTTGGTTGTTCTGCCATTCGGTCTATTTGCATATTACCCCTTTTTTAGATAGGATGTCTGACCAGCGACTCCCCCCAATGCCTCATGAGAATCTCATCACAACCCCCTTCATTCAACAAATATTATAGCACAGCAACGATGTCCAAGGACCAAGCTAGACTGGGACATAGGATGAGCAAAGCACAAACAGCTCTTAAGCTGGTACCCAAACATTAAACAAGTCTTGCTAAGGCTGGCTCCTTCCCACCTTCCCACCTTCCCACCTCCTCAGGGCGGCCCCCTCCCCTAAGGAAGGGCTTTGTATTATGGTTCCCTGATAAGTGTGCTGCTCTGCCCAGGGCTTATGCCATCTGACATCTTCCTTGAGAGCTCTTTATTAAGGGGCTGAATGCTCGCCTATCTGCCTTTCCATCCGGACAAAAAGCACAACAGCAGGGTCCTTGTCTGTTCTCATCAGTAAGTTCTCCAGAGCTCAGAACACTGCCTGTCTGGCACATAGTAGGTGCTCAAGACACTATTAAGCTGAAAGAATGAATGAAGTAAACATACAATTAAATGTATGATGACAACTTGTGATAAGTACTCTGAAGGGTGGGAGTAGGCACTTTTGAGAGGAGGAAACCTGTTTTAGATGCTGAAGGATGAGAGTCCATTGAGGTGAGATTGGGAGGCGAGGGGTGGGGGCGGGGAAGGGGAGGAGGTAGCGAGGACAGCCCTGCACAGGTCTGGAGCTGGGAAAGAGGGACAGAGCAAAGTCCAGTGTGTTTGCCAGGAGAGAACAAGGAGAGAGTGAAGTGAGATGAGGGTGGGGCCGGTCAGGCAGAGCCTACATGGCCATGGGGAGGGTTTGGGATTCCATCCAAAGCAGAAAGAAAAGCCCTGAGAGGATTTGGAGCAGCAGAGTGGGAAGCCATTCTATAGATTTGGACACTGAGACCCAGAGGCAGGAGGAATTCCCTGGGGCTACAGGCAAAGCAGTGTCCAGCAGGGCTCAGAGCTCTGAATTGCATCCCAGCTTTTCCAACTAACATAGGCCCTTGGAGCCTTTGTTTGGCTTTAGGGGGTCTTTAGGCAACCTGTGCTCAGATCCCCTGGTGGAGGTAGGGTGGATTGACCCTCTTCCCTGCCAAAGCCAACCTGCTCCAGTCCTCAACTTCCAGAGCATTTCTCCTGTCCCAGCCACGTCCAGGTCACCCATTCTCCCTTAACCCTCTTCCAGGGACCAAACCTGCTCTTTCAATCACACAGTTTAAGATGTAGATTTTGTGGATTAACAGGGATCAGTGATTTAAGTGGATAGGATTAAATTCTCAAGATCTCATTTCAGGAATTTTCCAGAAGGTGGAGAACAATTTGGAGACAATCTGAAATTAGAGCCCATGGTGGACATTTCCTCCTCTTCCTCCTCCCAACCAGAGGCAAGAAGGTAAATACAACTGATGCTGATGCTGATGACCATGATTGAGATAACAATGAAGGGGTAATTCTTCAAGAAGACATAGCAATCCTAAATATGCATGCCCCTTACTACCGAGCTTCAAAAAGCAAGAAGCAAAACTCTGCTAGAGCTGAAAGGTGAAGTAAGCAAATTCATGATTCTAGTTGGAGAGGTCAACACTCCTGCCTCAGTCATCATGGGGAGAACAAGGGGACACAAAATCAGCATGGATGCTATTCTTACCGAGAGCTTAGTGTGTGCCAGGCTCTATGCTAAACACTTGTATTTTATCATTTCGTCAGCTCAGCAGCCTATACGTAGGCATTACTGTCATCTTCAGTTTACATATATGAAAACCGGGGCTCAGAGAGGTTAAGTCGATGGCAAAGTTACAAGTTAGTGACAAAGCTGGTATTTGAACCAAGGCCTGTCTGACTGCAGAGCCTAAACCCTTTTTCACCACATTGTGCCATCTCCCAGGGGCAGGAAGAGGCTGAAATTAGGGTCCTTCGCTCCTCTGAGAGCCCACCTCACTTGAGATGGATGGGACTTACTCGCCCAACAAGGTGAATGAGATGCTGTCTGGGTCGCTGGCGCAATCTGTCAAGACCACTCTGGAGTCACCACTCTTGGGATCAGTTTCAACTTCGACAGTAGCCAGGAGGTCCAAGGAAACGTTCAGGTGGACTGCCTGCCCAATGAGAGGCCTGCAGACAATGAGACTCACAGTGAGAAGACGTCTAGAAGACCTTTCACATCGCCCACTCGGTTCCTCCACCTGTGCGGACACTATTCAGGATATCTATGGAGAATGTCATCATTGTCCACATTCTTTATGGGATATAACATATTTGCATTAGGGCTTCTTCTCCTGGTCTCCAAGGTTTGGTTCCTATGAAAATTTTATATAGCAGCACACTAATAATTAAATAATAATAATAATAATAGGTAACATTTATTGAGCACAAATTATGTTAGGCACTTTTAGAAGGTATTTTAACTGGATTAATCCATCTAATTATTACAGCAATACCATAAGGGAAACTACTATTATTATTATTGTTATTTCAGAATGAGGAAGCATTGATATAGAGAGGTTAAGTAACTATCCTAAGATCTCATAGCTAATGCATGATGAATTGACAGTGTACTCAATTTATAAAGATTTATCCACATCTATTTCTTTTAAAGTAATTAATATACTTTAAAATTATATTCTTCTACCATGTGCTTTCATGTATTTGTGGATTGTAATGAAAAAAATAAGCAAGATAGAAACAGATTCATAGAACAGACTGCCTGTCAGAGGGAAGGGGGCTTGAGGGTTGGGTAAAATAGGTGAAGGGATTAAGCAAAAAAAAACAACACCCAAAACTCATGGAAACAGATAACAGTATGGTGATTACCAGAGGGAAAGGGGCTTCGGGGAGGCAGAAGAGAGTAAAGAGGGGATAAATGGTGATGGAAGGAGACTAGACTTTGGATGGTGAGCGTACCATGCAATGTGCAGATGATGTATTGTAGAATTGTATACTTGAAACCTATATAATTTTATTGGCCAATGTAAACCCAATGAGTTCAATAAAAAATAAATTAAAAAAATAAAATTTCATTTTTCACATATTCCCTTTATTATAAGCTATACACTATTATATGCATTTATCTGTAATGGTCACTGCTATTTAAAGAGAATCTTGAGAGACAAAATAATGCTAGAGAAAATTTTGCCAAAGACTCGTTAATGTTTGACCTATTTATTTTTGCAAATTTTACTATTAGATAAATGTTATAATTCCAGAAATATATTTAATGGAGAATTCTTTTAAGGGAGACTTGGTTATGGCCAAAGTTTATTAGAACTTTTTAAAGGTTAGGATTTTAGAGCTAGAAAAGCTCCCTTATTTACAGATGGGGAGACTGAGGCCCAAGGCCACTAAGTGGTGTGGAAAAGTGCCTGGTTCTAGCTTGGAGGACCATTGGCTGTGCTGCACTGCCCCCCTGCCCCAATTCCCAGCTTCTAATGCATACTCACAGGGTCAAGGAGACATCAGCAGATGTGGGGAACCTCAGTTGAACGCCTTGGCCATCAGGAGTTGGTTCGGCTTTGAAATTCAAGATGTGGACATTACTGATTTTCAACCTGTGCGACAACCAGAATTCACCCTTGTCATTCCTCATGACAGCCATTTGCTGAGCTCTTCTCTCTGCAGCATGATGCTGAGCATTTGGGCCTCATCAGCCTTGCCTATTTTGGTCTTTCCTATAGCCCTCCTCAGAGGTTGATTGTCTCCATTCTATGGCGTGGCACACTGAGGACCAGCAGCTGTGATTCCCCCAAGATACCAAGGAAGAGCAATCGCCTGAGCCAGAATTTGAACTCACAACTATTTGACTCCAAAATTCTATGTGTGGAGCCAGCGGGCGTGGATTTCAGTTTCCTCTCTCCTGAGGGGATTTGAAAGTTTATTCTCAGCTGTATTTAGAGAGGAGAGTCTCATTCCCTGGAAAAGGGAATCCAGGCACCAGCAAACAGGTGGAGGTGAGAGTGAAGAGAACCTTCCCCCTGACCCTGAAATTACAGGATGTGGAAGCTGAAACTCATGTGATGCTCAGATTGGTCATGTGGCCCTGCCTCTAATTTACTCAGGCTCTGGTGGGCCTGGCCTCAGACCACGTGGGCTCTGTGGGAAGAACAAGTTGTGTTGCCTTTCTGCCTTTAATCTGAAATTTACACCCCTCCCCAAAAGACATGTATTTTCCCCTCCCTTTTTTTTGAGCAAAGATCTCCACCAGGAAGCACCAACTCACCCCAAAGCAATGCTCTCAATTGTTTTAGAAAGGGCATCATTCAACACAACTTTAGTTTGGTGGAACTTGTCCTGGATGGCTTGCCACCCATTGGTATCCCGAAGCAGGTTCAAGTCCTCCTTCAGGTTCTGAAGAATACCTGGCAAAACAATTGCTATTTAGTGTTATGTACCACTTATGAAGCTGCTACTATGCACCAGGTACTAGAAAAGACTGCCTGTGTTATTTCCTTTAATCTTCATAACAAGTCAATGAGGTAGATATCGACAGTATCTAGATTTTACAGATGAGGAAATAAGAATGAAAAGTTTAAGAAACATGCCTGAAGACATACAGCTACAGAGCCCCTCTTCCTTCCATGCTGTCTTCATACTAATATATACTCATTTTTAATCAACAAACCAACCAAGCAATTGACCAGGCAATTGATAATGATTATACACCTGCTTCTAGTAGTGATGGGCAGGGGTGTGAGATGTCTACATAAGTTTGAAAAAGTAGGTCAAAGAAAATGAGAGAATAAAGAAAGATATGGAAAATCTAGAATTAAGGAAAAAATATGACTTCAACCTATAAAAGTGACAAATTGGAATCCCAGGATGAGAGCTTTGCAGCAGGCCCAGAGAGCAATAATTCACACAGGAGCAGGATGACAAAGTGTCTTAATAGGAGGTCCCTAGTGAAAAGAGGGATTAATAGAATAAATGACATGGCAGATGTAGAATGCAGTATATGAGAAGAGTTAAGGATATGTGTGCAAAATATTTCAAGTGAAAAACAGCAAGGCAATTACTAACTCAAGGAAAAACAAAAGAATGTACTGGAGGAGGTATGTAATCATAGTACTTCAACTTGGCTATGCAATGGACAGTATATACCTGGTTATAATGATGCAAATAAAAAATGCCAACATAAATAAAACTATGGAGCTAAGGAGACTGAACTTGGGGTGGTGAACACACAGTACAGTGTACAGATGATGTGTTGTGGAATTGTGCACCTGAAACCTGTATAACCCCAATCAATAAATAAAATAAATAAATAAAACTATGCCTGGTCTTAGGTGACCTTAACTCAGACACTTCTGTTTCTGAGCTTAGTTTTCTCAGCAGTGAAATTAAAGATGGGGTCCCTTCCATATCTTTGAAAATTGCCTGACAATATTTGAAAGGCAGTCATTTACAGAAGTGACTAACTCCTATAAACATGTTTGTCAATGTGCTGTTAATTTTCCAGAAAATAAAAAGAAAGCCAAGTTCTTTTGAGTAATCAGAATTAAAAGGAGATTCAATTAACTATAAAAATAGGCATATAGCTACCTATGCTAGGTGGAGTTAATACAAATCAATAAGAAAAGTAAACAACCCAACAGACTAATATGCTAAGGATATGAACAAAATACTTAAGTTAAAATATATAAAAAGATTAAAATATGAAAAAATGAGTGGATTCTTTTATAATTAGAGAACTTTAAAGTGAAAGGCGTTAGAGTCTTTCGTCATATGAGTCTGGCAAAACATTTAAGTTGTCCATACCAGTGCCATCAAGGGAATAGAGTGAAATATCCTTTGAACTTTTGAAATCTCGCTTTTAGGAACTTATGCTATGTATAGACTAGAAACATGATATAATATGTACAAGAATATTCATTTAAGCATTGCTTGTTTATAGAAAAAATTAATGGCCTGGCCAGAGTGGTTCAGTGGTTGAGTATCGACCTATGAACCAGGAGGTCACAGTTCCATTCCAGGTTGGGACACATGCCTAGGTTGTGGGCTCAATTCCCTGTAGGATGCATGCAGGAGGCAGCCAGTCGATGATTCTCTCTCATCATTGATGTTTCTATCTCTCTCTCCCTCTTCCTTCCTCTCTGAAATCAATAAAAATTTTAATAAGTAAGTAAGTAAGTAAGTAAGTTAGTAAATGAGCCAGGAAGTGACTAACCACCTTTCCTAGTGAACCATCCCTAAAGGGCAGCCCCTGGTGGCAGCCCCTGGAAATGCAGCATAATGTTTAGGAAACAGGTTCTGGGTGCCGCCTATCATCACCCTTACTGACTCACATTTAATGTCCCTAAGTCTATTATCAATAGCAGGTCTCAGGCCGTCTACAATGTTACCCACGTCTTTGCCAAGTGAGTGAATAATACCTGCTGAGGTCCCAGAGATCAGGCCACACAAGAGAACAAGTTTCCAAAGCTGAAACATCTTGTGCTGACACCTGGACATTCATAGGAGGAACAGGAGTGAGAATTACCCAGAGGGAAAAGGAGTTTTCAATGAGCAGCCCCCCTCTTTCACTTAACATTCCTTTAAGATAGAGGTGGCTGTCTCCTGTTTTACAGATGGGCAGCCCAGCTCAGAAAGCTAGAGCAACTTGCCCAGAAACACACAGCCAGTGAGTGGACCAGCTGCAATTTGAGAAGTCACACTTGACTACAAATTCATGATCTTTACAAAAGGGTTTCTGCCATATGCTGGCTTCTTTGCCTGGAACATCTGTCCTCTTCTTTGCATTTTTAACCTATTGTCTCTCTGGCTTCAGTAAGACATCGTGTCCTCTATGGAGCCTACTGTAGGCCCCTCCCCAGAGTCTAGGTTAGGGAGCTTCACCCCACCGTTTCTTCTGCATTCGTTCTCTGATCAGAATCCTGGGTGCCAATTACCTGATGACCTGTCTGCCTCTATCACCAGCCTGTGAACTCTTTAGACGAGGAACGGTGACATTTCCCTGTCAAATCCTCAGCCCCCATAAAATCCCTGTAGTCAGGACCGTTCAACGAATAACTCTTTGCCGAATAAAAGTATGAACAAATAAATGGGCGCTATCTCATGACCCTGCATTGCCCATCAGTTTGACACTTCTCTGAGTGTAATTATCTATCTATCTATCCATCTATCTCTTAATTTGCTATATTCAACATATTACCAAGCTGTCCTAGTCCTCTGTCTCTAGCCCCCAAAGCCTTCTGAAGACCACCCTGTGGGGTGTGGTCAGAGGAAGCCCACCACTCACGGGTTTGGAGGAGGATGATCGCGAATCCTTGTTCTCCTGCACGGTCTCCTGGGATTCTTCTGGGTGGTGGTGGCCCTTATATTGGTAGCCACAGAATGGGAGGCTGCGCATGGAAGCAAGTCCTGTTTCCGGGGCCATCTGAGGAGACGCCAAAGAAAATAACAACCCCTGTCCGGGATGAGCAGAGAGACTTCCAACCCAAAGTCCACCCAGGATGCTGGGATTGACATGTGTGGCTTTGGGAGGACTTTCTGCCAAGACTAAGACCAGGCTCTCATGGAGTCTCCAGCTGCCAAGACGATGGCCTTTGTGAGTGGGGGGTAAGGTGAAGACTGAGAATAGACAAATTAGAGAATTTGCTGGTGGGGAATCTATAGTGATCATCAGCCTATTTCTGTCATCATTTGGAAACTGAGGCTAGAGAGGGGAAGTAACCAGCCTGAGGTCACCCAGCAAGACAAGGACAAAAATGAGACCAGAATTGTGGTCCACAGAAGGTCAGGGTCAGCAACCAGAAAGGCCACTCTACCCAATCCTCTGGCGCCCAAGTGCTTTCATGGTGGAGCCAGCCTCGGTTCAAATGTCTGCAATGATGGGGAGCTCACTACCTCTTAAGATTGCCTGTTCCATCTAGTTAGAGTTTCTCCTGAGAGTGAACAAAATCTGCCTCCCGTTACCCCCATGTGTGGGCAACAGTGCAGCCCAGAAAGGTTAAGCACCGCGCCTGAGGTGGCACAGCCAGTGTCAGGAGACACACCCACCAGCCTCACCCCTGGAGCACTTGCTCCATCCACTCTCCTCTCAATGCAGCAGCAGGTGTGTCACTCAGCTTAAACCCAAAGTCCTACTATGTGCCCTACAGGAGCCTGTGTCATCTGGTCACTGTCTCTCCAAACTCATCTCCTACCTGTCCCTGCTGGCCCCTACCTCTCTTCCTTCTATTCCAGAAGGTTCTGACCTCTTTCCTGCTTTGGGCTTTGCATAAGCCATTCTCTCTGCCCATGACTCTCCTCTCCAGCTGCTCCCAGCTCTTGATGTCACCTCTTCAGAACCCCTCTCACTGCCCACATGAGGTGGCGCCTCTCCATTATCACCACCTCAGCTCCTTGATTGCTTCTTTCACAGAACATCACCACAATTTCATTTTTTCAAATATGTTTTTATTGATTTTTGAGCGAGATGAAGGGAGAGGAAGATAGAAGCATCAGTGAGAGAGAAATGTCCATGGGCTGCCTCCTGCAAGCTGCCTACTACCCGGGCATGTGCCCTGACCGGGAATCAAACCTGCGACCTCTTGTTCCATGGGAAGACACTCAACCAACTGAGCCACACCAACCAGGCCACAATGTGATTTTGCCCTCAGCAAATTGTTACCACCCTGTGCTCTGAGGCTTTCCTCAAATGTGGGTTTCAAAGGCTCTGACCTGTCTCTAGAATGCTCTAAACCTTTCTCTGGGGCATCCGATAAGACCAGGCCCTACCTGGGAAGGTGGCAAGATCCCCATCACCTGAGATGCTCAGAAATTGGACGAGGTGACTACTGGCTCTTGTGGGACGTGCCCTGACTGTAAACCGTGATCCTACATTTCCTTGGTCTATTGTTGAAAGACCATTGTTGCATTTTTTAGTTTCTTCTACCTGAGTCTAGCTGCCCCACATGGATATCTTTCCCTCGGGTTTCCTATCTCTTTCCTTTCCTCCCCCTCCCCACCTCCCAAGACCCCAACTACGCCTGGCTGGCCCTGGCGGGCTGCAGAGACTCGCGCTAGGTGCTGTTTCTCAGCATGAACCACACCTGGACCACAGCCAGCTTTCCCCATGGCATTGGCCACCTTGCACGGCCAAGCTCTGAGGTGACAGGAACTTGTCTCCTGGGTGTGGGGCTAGGGCAGTGGTTCTCAACCTTCCTAACGCCGCGACCCTTTAACACAGGTCCTCATGTTGTGGTGACCCCCAATTTCACTGTTACAAATTGAACATAATTAAAGCATAGTGATTAATCACAAACACAATATGTAATTATTTATGTGTTTTCCGATGGTCTTAGGCGACCCCTGTGAAAGGGTCGTTCAGCCCCCAAAGGGGTCTCGACCCACGGGTTGAGAACCGCTGGGCTAGTGGATGACACAAAGGCAGGAGGGTGAGCAGAGGAGCCTGAACTCTCATATGCAGCTCACAGGTCCTGCTAAGGAGCCATAGTCTCAGGGTCCCCCATCCCCCCAGCACACACGAGGACAGGATTTTGCCACACCCTTGAGGGCCCTGTCTGCTAAAGCATTTGGGGGCCCCCATGTCTGACCTACACTAGGCTACATCTCCCAAAGTGGGGAGAAACCATGCCCCCATCTTCCCGCAGTCCTCCAGATCCTACTCCCAATAGTGTGTGTACAACTCTTAAATAAGCGTGTATATGCCTACACATATGTATGTGTGCATGTCCACACACATACAACACATGTGCATACGTGCACATGTGCATGTCAGTGCAAGCTAGACTCATATGAAGATGCATCTGCTGCCTAAAGGAGCAGAACTTTGTACAGAATCATGGAGACCAGGTTGCCACTCTTCTGAATGAAAGAGCTCACTACCAGCAAAGGTGGATTTGGGTCTCTCCAGATTGCTGGTTCTGCTTTGTTTTTCTTTTTCCTCTTAGAGACTTTAGACACAGTTATCTAAAGCCCACAAGAGAACAAAGCCAATTCTAAGGGAATGAGAAAATATATCATTTGCGTGCCCGGATCTAGCTGTGCCTGAAGTCGTATATACCCCAGACTTCTCAGTTCAAATGCATTTCTCCCCGCGCCCCCTTTTTTCTTTTTTGCTCAGGCCCTTATGAATTGAGTTCCTGCTGCTGAAACCCACAACAGTCCTTACTCATGCATTTGAACATTCACTGGGCCTCCTCCCTCCTGGTGGCTGCCGGAGAGCCACACACGACACGCGAAAGATCAGAGACAGCAAAGCCAGAGGAGCGCTGAGAGCTCTTCGGTGTAACCTCCTTGCTGGGAAGTCTGGGGAGCCTGTGGCCTGGAGAAGGCGAAGGAATCATCCAAGGCCGCACAGTGACCTCAAACCCCACTTCCTTTCCTCTTTTATTGCATATCTTGTAGTTTTGTTGGAATTTTTTACTGGTGGTAACCCTAAAAAAATTACACATCATGACCTAGGAAGCTTGTTTAAAACACAGGAACTTGAGCCCCATCCCTAGGTTATTTGGGTCAGGTGTTCCGGGAACCCAAGTGGCCTGTGTCCAGTTTCTTGGGATTGCTGACCAGCAACGGGAATGACTGTACCAGATGACTCAAAGGTCCCTTCTGCCCTGGTTTCTATGAGCCGTGACCCCCACCCCAATCTCTGAACCCCAGCTCAGCCCAGGCATGACCCTCATAACCCTGAGGCTCACGTGTACAGCGCCTTGCAGTGCAGCCTGACCATCCTGCAGAAGCTCGGGGCCGTAAGAGCAGACTATTGATAATTGCCATTTATTTGGCACTTGCTGTGTACCAGGATTTTTTTTCCTTCTACATCTGGTTTCATCCCCTCACAACCTTGCAAGGGGTGTCACTGCCCCTCTTTCTCGAATGAGGAGCATGAGGCTTAGAAGAGAAGGACAACTTGCTCAAGGTCATGCAGACAGGAAAGGGCAGCGCTGGGAAGAAAACCGAAGTCTGTATCTTCGCAGATTGAGGACGGCTGTTCCAGCTCATGCCTCCTGGGGGCAGCAGCGAGTCGCATTCGTCTGCTCTTGGTGCCCAGCACCTGCTAGGCAGCTGCTGTGTCCCCAGCACTGGGCTTGGTGCTGTAGGTACACTTTCACCATTAGTCCTCACGACAAGCCTGTGAGGAGGTTTGGGGCCCCATTTCCCAGTGGAGGAAACAGGGTCAGAGAGGGTAGGTGGCTTGCCCAGGCCTCACAAGGACAGGATCTGAGCGTTTGGTTCCCCAGGGAAGGCCCTTCGGCCAAGGTCACATTGAGGCCAGCTGTCGGGGCAGAACAGACCTTGGGCTTGGACATCCTGTTTCTCTGTCAGTCTCTGCTGTTTGCGTTGGTTGTAACGCCTGGCGCATTGGCCCGTGTCAACCTGGAACCGGCCACAGGAAACTCAGCCACTTGGCAACAGGAGCACTGGCAGCGAGCTCAGGGGCGCCCTGTGGCTGTGCCCTCTGCTCATCCACCTGAAGCTCAGCAAGGACCAGGTGGGCCTGTTCTTCAGGCGAACGTGGCCAGGGCAAAGGGTGAGATAGGTGGGGGCGCTAGCCTTCCTCACACTGACCATGGGTCCCCATCAGAGCACAGAGCAGGGAGGAGGCGGCAGCTCATGTCCCTCGCCAGGGCTGGGACCTGGAGAGCCCAGGCCAGTAGGGTCTTGCTGGGTGGCCTTGGAACAGTCACCAATCTCTGTTCCCTGGCTGCCGGGCCTCCAGTTCCACAAATATCTGAGGCCCCTCTTCCTCCAGGCGTGAGGAAGAGACCCGAGGGCTGTGCTGAAATCTGTTTTCCCACCCCGGGAACACAGCCAGGGAGCTGAGTGTCATGTGGTGACCTTAGACCTAGTGTTGGCCCCAGGCCTCAGTTGCTCCATCTGTAAAATGGGGTAAACACCCCTGTGCCTGGATCCCGGTGCCAAAATGCAAATCAAAAGGGTGCCGAGGCGGCTCTCGGGATGTTGGTCAGAGCCTGGCTCTGGGGTGGGTTGGAATCCTCTCTCCACCTGTTGTTGACTGTATAATCTCCCTGAGGCATGCCGTCTCACTGACCCTCAGGTTCCTTACCTGTGAAATGGGACGAGCAACCGGACTTACCTCCCAGGTGTGCTGTGAGGATGAGGTGGGATAATGTGTGTGGCAGGGTTAGCACCTGGTAGTCCCTTGATACATGATAACACAATGACGATGATGATTATAATTATTCTTGGTTTCTGGTCACTTCGCTTCTCTCCACCTCCGTTTTCCCATCCAAATGTGAAGGTTAAATGAGACAGAGCATCCCATATGCTTAGTGCTCCATTAAGGCCAACATGGCAGGTGCACGTCCTCATCGAGCCCAAGTTCCCCCTCTGGGCCAAGTCTGGAAGTCTG